ATCTTATATGGAGTCTTGACTGCTGGTGTATCGAAACAAGGGAAAAGACTACGAGCATGAATTGCTTGACATTGGGAAAACAAATATGGGGCTTTCTTACCATCAGTAGCTTCTTTCGATAAGAATTGCAACGCAGTACATTTCGAAGTAGTTGAAAACTTAATTTCTAATTTAACAGAAGCGTTCTTTTTGAATGCGTATTTGATAACCAATGCTGAACCGAGTGGTTCAGCTCTATCTTTCACTTGATATTCACTAATTTCCTTTTCATTCACCCTTACGTTATGTATTTCCAAGTATGAAGTATCCAAAACTACTTCCTCTGTTTCATTCAAACTTAATAAGTCAAATACAACTACCCCATCAACCTTTTCTTCGTCGAATAAGACTTTGAATTGTAAATCAGTTTCTTTGACATCAAAATTCGTATAGTTTGACAAAGTCGAAGGATCGACTTCAGGAGATTGTGTAGGACGATGAGAACTTATAACGGCCTCCATTCTATAATTTTAGTTACTTCAGTTGTAGCAAGATGAGATGTCTATCCAATTATAAACATTTCTGAGTCAGTAGTATGCCATTCGTTCTTAGGGCCAAATTTTATTTGGGGCCGCATCATCGAATATGCGGCATCTTCCACGAAGACATTTGAAGAACGAATTGTAATTGTTGGAGAACGTTTCCCGGCTTAGAACTGAAACTAACCAACATTATATTATTGTTGTACTACATTTCTCTCTGATAGAAAATTTTGGCTCTTAAAGCTAGCTTGCAAACTTGCTTAATAGCTTAGCTATCTTGTTCGGCAATGCATCACCCCGGAAAACGATTTGAAACTACAACTCTATAAAACGTAAACTATTACAAGTTTAACAATCGAATGTCCCAAGTTCCTGGGATAAATAGTATTTGAATTATTAATATGTATGGGTCTTCAACGGATCCATTGGAGCCCTTGGTATATTGGCATAATATCTCAATTCAAAAGATGGCTTAAAAAAATTCGTATTGATTACATGTGAGTAAATTGTTTCTATATATGTATATACTAATGATATATAGTTTTGTAGATATTTCAAAGGCAAGTGGTTGGACTAAGGTAAAATAGGTTTTGTCTGTACATGAGTTATTGCAGCCACTCATCAACAGAGTCAGACTTCCTGAATTTTCATATGTTCAATTGATAGAAACCTCATTTCATATTTCTTTCACAAGCTCTATACAATACTACTTGAATGCATATATTTCGACATAATAAACGTTAGATTCCGTAATAACAGTAGTTACAACATACAATGTGCTATAATAAGATTGTCGTCACATGACACACCCTTTACGCTTAATGTCCCATACGTGAATAGTTGTGTGTAACATTAAGTATCTTACCCTTATATTGGTATATACTACTATTCATAAGATATAGGCACTCGCTAATAAATTATATTGTACCTGATAAATCATTTATTTGATTAGTGATCTGAATTCTATGGCTGGAAGTATTTTGTGGAAGAATTATGAACATTCCAAGAGATAACAATGATTCGATTAATTCGCCGTTACATCAACTAGAGATACAAATGAGCAATGCTAGACGGGCAGATAGGAATCCAAATAACTCTCGTTATAATACAAATGCAAATTTGAATAATATCGACAGAGAAAGTATTTACTCGTTCGATTCGGTAAGCACTAATGGAAGACTTCTTGACCGCTTAGGGTTAGACAACGACGACTTCTACGAAGATGACGATATAAATTTTGGTCTAAGCCAACGAGATAGTGTTATATCCATTCAATCTACGGGAAGATTATTGGATAGACTCGGAATTGATGATGATGATCCAGCCCTTGCTGGGGTAAATGTATCTACAGATGAGCGCAAATCTCGTTCTGCTGCAGTGAATCAAGACAGACACAGACCAATATTTGCAAATTCGGCTAATAATGCAGAAAGAGTACCGTTAAATATGAAGAACTTTGCAAATCAAAGGTCACTGGCAGGTCAGAACTCGTACCGAACTTCAGGTGAGAAAAATGTGAACAGACCCAAACTTAAAACAAGTCCAGTAAAAATTGTGTTACCAAATCAAAACTCCTCCGTAGATTCCCTCCATGCAGACTTAACTTCGATCAATAGTTCCCCATCAAGTAATAATAATAGTGACTACCAAAACTTTCACTCATCTAAGCCCTTCCCCAATGATATTCATCTATTTACAAGGAATTCTCCAATGGAAAAGAATGTATCTGTTGAACCATTTGCAAAAGGTCAATCGGGATTAGAGCCTGGATTTTTTCCTAAATCAAAGTCAGTCTCGTATAAGCAGAACCCTGTTCAAAAAGGATTTTCTTACCGTGATAAGGTAGATGTGACAGATGATGCTGATGACGAAAGCAACTTTAGCAGCTCTGATTCAGTGGATAAGATTTCTATATCCAAAAAAGGAAAAGATGGGACAAGGACAATTCCAAAAACACCATCATCTATAAACAGGTCAGTATCTACAAGCTCAGCCATGGGTAAGTCACAGGTAAATACACCACCTCCCAATAGAATTGCATCCGATTCAAGCACGCCTCCAACACCGTTACTCGCTGGTGAATTGTCGCCCAATTCTCGTACGCAATCAGCGATCAAACTTAGACAAATGGGAAAAGACAGGGAGGCATCATATCAATTACGAATTGCAGCTAGCATGCCGTATAATTTCCCTAAAGCAATGTATCTATATGGAATGGCTTTGAAGTTTGGTCAAGGCGTGAAACAAAATAATAGGCATTCCCTAAAATGGTTCTGTAGATGCATCCTTACCGGTACCCAGATAACAAACCCACAAATTGCATCAAGATTAAGTGATTTGGAAGCTGAAGATATGATTTCTCTTATCAATAATGAATTAAAAAATGATAAGCCAATTGATCCGAACGAATTATATGGATATTATTCGAAACTTCAGTCATCTCAGCTAACCAAAATTATCAATACTTCGAAGTCACAGCTGGATATAGTAAGTGCATCGTATCACGAAGTAGGAAATGCATTGTTTAGTGGCTTGGGTCTTTCAACTAAGGACGAAGCAATTGGTATTGCATATCTATGTAAAGCGGGGTCTATGGGTTTTATAGATTCAATGATTCAATTAGGAGATATATGGTGTTCAAAGTCTAAATCACACAAGAAGGATTATTATAAAGCTGCCGCCTGGCTAAGATTAAGTGAAATGTTTGGAGTTACATCTATCGGGAATAGCTGGATATATAAAGAAAAGTACATGCCCTCAAAAAATAAAAAATAAACATTGACACTATAGTCTTTCATGAATAGCATTAAATAGCATTTACAACTAATAAATGATTTAAAAAATATCTATTACTTTTATTATACAATTCTAAGATTATGACATTATAACTTCGTCCGTGGGTGCACCTTTCAATCCAGACTGTAAGATATAAGCTGTTTCAGATTTCTCACTATTGTTAGTAGTACATTGAAATAGCTCACTAAATTCTCTAAGACAGCTAAACATAAAGCCACTGATTTCCTTTAATTCAGAATACATTCCTATGGGCAAAAAGTAGTTATCACCACCGGGAACAAAACTCGTTTCATAAGTCTGAATAGGATTTATATGCGGAGATTTATTATACCATGTCTTTGGAAAATTCACTGAAGCTTGTGTGGTCATAGAAAAATATGATTCTGCCTTAGAAAAATTTGCGATGGCCTTATTATAATTGCTGATGGTCGATTGCTGTAATTCTATAATTTTATTGTTTAGTTCATTAAGGAGGTCATTTTTGTTATTGTTATTCTTTTTGAAAATGTACTCATCTATCACTTTCTGAAAAACAGAATTAACTTGTTTTAAGATTAGTGCTTTCATCTGATATAATATACCTATAAATGATTGGATATATTCATTTAAAGGTATCCGGGAACTAGATTTTTCATTTGAAATCTTTTTTGGTATGCTTTGCTTTAGTTGAACAATCAAGTTAGTACAATCCTGATATAGCGAGTTCCAATACCTTTCCAGAGGTAATACTTCTGATATTAATTTCAGTTTCTCATCATAGTCATATGCAATCATATACAACAATAACGCATCAATACTTATCACTATTGACAATGTTGGATCTTTAGTTTTATCCGCTTCCGCTTTAGTCTGTTTGGCGATTTTAATCCAATAATTTTTCTTCAGTATCAAATTTGCCTTATATTCCTCTTTTTCCTCTTCAGTGAAAGCTAATTTCAGTTGATTCAGTATTAATGGAGATTGGCTCTTCAGGATTCTTAATCTTTCTAAGTCTGTTTGCTTAGCTTGTTCTTTCTGTAATATATCACTGTTCAATTGCTTCAATTGTTCATCCCTAAATTGTTGCGTTTCTTGTTTATCACCTTGTTTCTTCGAAAATGGCTTTACGTTTTGTTTTACATAAACGTTTCCCTCTTGTGACTTTTTAGACTTAGCTTCCTGTGTTGGTTCTTTGTACGCATGTTCCTGAATTTCCTTCGTTATTGGCTCATTATTCGAGCTCAATATTCCTAGGCCATTGTACTTTTTTGGAGAATCTAGCTTATCAATATTGAAACTATGCTTATACTTAGGCTGATTGCGAAAATTAATTCTTAGTAAAAACTTTGGGCGTATGTCTTGTGATTTGTCGATCCAGCGAACTTTAGGTCTTGATAATTGAGGTTCATTAACAGTCAGATCCACCAATTTCGGTGTGCTTTTCAGTATTGCTTGCTTGGGTTTCGGCTGAACTAATTTAGGATAATTACTATTTGGCGTGGCTTCTTTACTATCAAACATGACTGGCAATGTCGGGGATAGCATCGAAAGAGGTAAGTTTTCACTTGCAAGAGAATCTGCCGAATTAACAAACAGAATTTCCTTCCCTTCTGATTTCTCTTCCCCTCGAGCAGATTGACCTTGGGGTATTGTTGGCGATAATATAGGAGGGAGTACACGATGCTCAACGTAGCTGTTGAGCATTTCATCTAGATTCCACGCTATATTAGTTCCATTGATTGTATTCTTTTTGTTATCATTTGAACTTCTGGAATATTCGCCAAATTCTGGAGTTGCTGGTTTTGATTTTTGACGGATTAAAGTTGAATTAGTGGAGCTGATACTAGGGGATGAATTTTTCAACAGATTTCTTGACTTTGACTGTCGCTTCGGTTCCGAAAATAGATGTGGATCTTTATCAAATATAGCAGACCTCATCATTTATGTCGAAACTATATAAATATATACAGCTGATCACAATGTGTAATTCATCTAACAATGTATAAACGAATTCGTAACTCCAGTTGATCTGCGAATTTTGTGTAAGCTCTCATCAACTCAGGAAATTTGAAGGTCTTTCATGAGAGAAGTATATTTGATAAGATAAGTCCGAAGTGATAATATGGGAGGTACATATAATGAAGTGACTCCTTCACTTACTCTAGGAAAAAACAATCTGAATATTTCTTCGAAGTCATCAAGCTCATCCCAAAACCCGGCATCATCCACCAGCAATTCTGGCCAAACTAACATAAAATCCCAAGAAGCTGGTCAAAACTGGCCACCGTCATTACAAGAATTTGTTAACACTAGCTTTATAAGGTCAAGTTTACTAAGTAATGCTGATAAGATTACTTTTAACACTCAGCTACAATCATTAATGGAGAAAGCCTTATCAACGGGCAAAATATGGGAAAATGATTGGAAGTCTCAAAAGATCCCAATATTAGATAAGTCATGCAAAAAATTGGAATTAGAATGCTTAACTAAGAAGCCAAGGGTTAAAAATCAAGAACAGACCCCAACAAGTACAGTTTTTCTTCCACCTCCAAAAAGACAGAAAACTAAGAAGAAACAAATGACAACAGATACACTTCGCTCGACCTTACCTGCAACACCTAACATATCCAACAAATCGGCAAATACAGAACTAGCTGGACTAAAAGGAGGTAAAGACTCAGAATTCAATTCTGCGGAGAAAAAGAAGCAAAGGATGGCTAGATTTGGAGCTGAATCTCTCACTCCTGAACCTTTTAAAAGAACAAGTGAAACAAGTAGCACCAAGGTAATCATAGGCAAATGTGAAGATTTAGAAAAGCATTATCTAAGGTTGACATCAGAACCAGATCCATATAGGGTAAGACCTCAGAGAGTGCTAGAGAAAAGCGTAAAATTTATTCTAGATAAGTACAAGAAAGATTCGCAGACAGGATATTCATATGTCAATAATCAATTCAAATCCATAAGACAAGACTTAACAGTTCAGCATATCAAGAATGATTTTGCAATGCAAGTATACGAAACTCATGCAAGAATAGCAATTGAAAATAATGATTTAGGAGAATTCAACCAGTGTCAATCACAACTAAAATACTTGTACTATCTTAAGAAAAAATCTGATAAAGCATTATCAAATAATGTATACACCGTGGAGTTGGAGTTCACATGCTACAGAATTATCTACATGCTAATGATGGGTAACTATTCAGAAATTTACAAGCTAAAATTAGAATTATGTTCCAATACTCCCAAACCAAAAGGGAAAAAGCAAATCGAATTATTAGATTGTATTGAAAAGGCCTTTCTTTTGCAAAGTTATCAAATAAATGGTGACTATCATAAGTTCTTCAACACTTATGATTATTTCAAATCTATTCCGTCAATGAAGCTAGCAGCACATTTGATAAAACATTTCTTGGTAAGTAAAGAAAGAATAAAATCATTAAACATAATCGCTAAGAGTTATAGGAAATTGCCTATTTCTTTCATGGTGGAGGAATTGAAACTTACGAACAAGACAGAAGATGACATTGATAATTGGAATACTTTTTTAACAAAATATAACTTGCTTCAATTTCTCGTGCTGGATACTGACTTTGATTGCTCTGCTTCAAGAGGTGTTTTACAAAATATTGTCGTCCAGAATGGTTTTAGGAAGATAGACATTAAGGGTCAAGTTTAAGAATCATATATATTATTACTAGATATATATTCATACATAATCAGCATATAATTTTTTTAATCAAGAGAGGGGCCTATAGCCATCATTGCAAAATTATGCTTATTCTCATCGTCTGCATTATCCATATAGAATTGGATCTTTTCGGTTAATTTAGTGTCATCAAGAATATGATTCTCCTTAGTTGATACGCCTAAGTCAATAGGGCCAGCTCTTCTTCCATCAAGTTCGTATAAATGATTATCTTTTCCTTTCACAAAAGTAATGAAGTGCAAATCTACTGATTCGCTTGCATCTGGTGCTTCGGTTTGGCCTTGTGTACCATAGTTTGAGTCTAGCTGAATACTTCTTTCTAATTGCTCTACAAGATTTGCGGTTTCCTTCACACTTGAATCCTTACTCAACTGGGACAATAGACACTTATTTAAAATCAGGTTATCAATTATGAAATCATGAGGTAAGTTGGCCAAAATATGAAGCAACGCATAAAGTCCACACCCATTGCCTATAGTTTGCTTGAACCACTTGATGTCACCAAATCTTTCATTGTTATATTCATGCTCTCCTTTATCAGACTGCTCTCTATATTGTTCATAATTCTTGGTTAATGGGAATAACAAAATTATTGCATATACGGGTTGAGGAAGAAATGCTAATAATTCACTATCTGTTAATGAATAAACGTCATGGAACTGAAGTATTGGCGATAAACCCAATTTGTTTGATAAAGAATTGAATATGCTTGGATTAGATTCTAACGGAATCACTCTTTTTGAATCGACCATTTCTAATACAAAATCGTTTATTATAATAAGAAAGCTTTACTTTAAACAATTATACTAATGAAGCCCAGATAACTAATGAGTTGATTAGATTCAGATTTATCTGCTTATGTAATCGAACCCTGATGCAAATTCTGTCTCATCCAGAATTATGAAGCAAGACTTCAATTACAAGTGTATATTTCATATATCAAGTCATTGGTCTGCTGTTATCTATCGACCTTTAGGGGGAAGGTTTCAGAGAAAAAAGACTTGTCGGAATGTATGATTAGCTCACTTACTTGGCCTTTAGTACCCAGTCTCAACTGACATTATTGGTCTTTCTGAAACAGATAGGTTTGAAGCTCCAACAACGCTGAGTATGTACTATTTCTATAAGACTACTAATAACAAAATCAATTTAATAAATTCTTCTTGTTATACAATTTAGTCTTAAAGATAAAAAGTCGTGTATTTGCCTTACGTGATATGGATAAGCTTTCTAATGCTACGGTAATATGAGACATTGGAAGAATCGATGCATCAGCACCTAAAAGGTCTATTAATGTCACTACTGAAGTTCTCTGAATGAATGCAGAATGAACTTATTATTGGATGTTCCTCGAAATTAAGGTTATCTTTGCAAAATTTCTAAATTTATGAGAATTTAAATTTATTGTCATTAACATAAACATTATATTATAGATATCTATTTAATTCCATTATGAGATAAATATCATGCCTCCTACCCCAATTCGATTAAATACTTTATAACTGGACAATTAAGTTAAAACATCTTCTGTCTTGAAGTAAAACTGTTTTGTAAGTTTTCACGTGATCGTGTTCAGATCTAAATCAAAACATTTGATCTATGTTTACATTTTGCTATACAAAGCGCCTTCAAGAGACCAAAGATTATATACAAAGAGAGGCCTCATAGCGGTCATCTTCGCTGTACTTGTATAAATACACCACGCTGCTTATGAATTCGATTGCATTTTTATACGCAATCATCATCCTATGCATAATACAGGCTGCTTGTTTCGTTTTCACAGTTAATTTACATACATGGTTAGGCAAATACACAATTGGAGACTTGAGTCGATTATACATTCCAACATCTGTTGAATTAATGGAATCTGCGTTTTTGGCATTGTTTCTTCTAGGGGTTACTGGATTTGTAACATTTGTGGGAAATTCATTATTCATTCAAAAAAAAAATTCGAATAAGAACGGAGCATTCAATAAGTTCTACTTACCGATTATTGAAGAATTGCTAAAATTTGGTTTGGTTTTCTTCATTGCTCATCGTAGTGGTGGTTCAGTCCGCTCGTCAGAAATCAATAAAGATGTTCGTGGAGATGCAGACGAGCCACATGATATTTCTCATATAAGTGTGAAACAAGTAGCCATAATAGTGTTGGTTTTCAATCTCGTCAAATTCTTTTTATTTGTGTATAGATTCTCTCCCATGAATTATGAAAAGGTTTATAAAGAATTCATAAACTTTCATAGAATGTGGCGAGAACATATTACAATTGACAATACGTTACGTAACAATAAGAAGTCTAGAGTGGATGCTGCAATGATGTTAGCTGAATCTTTGGGTGACGACAAACGGTCTATTTATTCAAGGAAATCTATTGCCACTTTAATAAACCCAGCAGAAGCTATTTCGATGCCATTAAGAGTTCCATCGTTTGATAGGGTATCTTTAGGTATCAAGAAAGCATCATCAATCAAATCTGATATGATATCGGTTGATTTAGAATCATGCTACAATCTAGTTGACAAACTTTACTCGATATCCCCAAAGAATACTTACCATCTAGATACAGATGATGTTGTACAAGTATCTATTGATGATTTAGAAGATGACGAAGACCCACCAACATTGGAAAGCAATCTCAGCGACAAGCCATTACGTTCAGATATAGAACAGAATTGTCTCCTGTATGATGTCGGAAAAGACGAAAACAATTACATACAAAATTCTAATTCGAGACTCGAAAAACATTCATACTTTATTCCAAACAACGGTAACAAGCAATATGATACTACTCCTAATTGTATGTCAGTCTTCATTTCATGTATAAATTCTTTCGCCTGGTTATTACCGTTTCAACCTATTCCTCAAGAGAGTGAAGAGTTAAACAAAGATACCCGTCCCTTAACCAAGAACAGAAATTTCGACCCAGCGATTAAGAATAAGTTATCATCTTACCAACTCAACGAAAACGCCACGGATTCTGAAACTTTGCATTCTTCAGAGGCTTTACTTTCGCAGTATAGTCTGCCAAGATTAACTTATGGAGCACTAGATCTAGAATCCCAAACGTCAATGGACACTTCGATATGCTCTGTTTGTTTGAATGAAAGAAATAATATTAAAGAATTCCAATTGTTCGTTGAAAATTACTTCGACTATACTTATGACACTTTTCAAATATCGGTTGATCCGATATTTGAAACTTTTGGAATTACGATTTTTGAATTTAATACCAAACTCTTTATTGTTTTTTTCAGTTGCAATTATGTTTGGAATTTAAGCACATTTTTGATATATGCATACCCATTTTTTAATAATTCATTTTTGCATTTTTATTTCATCATTATTACTATCTTGATAATAAAGCTTTTCAATCGGAACTTTCTTCACGACAAACACTTTAAGAAAAGTGTTAAATTCTCATTGATTGTTGAACTTCTGATTAATGTGAGTATATTTGTTGGTACTACTCTATTGTTTCGTTTGGGTATCAATAACACGTAAATATTGACATGTATGATCGTGAAATTCATTGATATTTCTACCAATATAATTAAATGTAAAATTAAAGTTCTATCAAAGTTCTTCTATCAGTAAATATATATTCTATACGTTAAATATTGAGTTCAAGTAGCTATCATTAGTGAATGTAAAGTCTTTAATATGTAATATATCGGACTGATTGATTCCAGTTGCACCACGAATTTTGATATTTTCATTGGTCGGGGGAGTAAAAGACATCTCAGTAAATTCTTCATCAAAATTCTCAGCCAATATAGGGTCAGTTATAATAGGTAATATAGGCGGCAATGTCTCTAATTGATATTCTGGACTTTCCAATAGTGACCAATCAATATGTCTGAAGAAACGATGTCTCTTTAACAGATCAAAATCATTATCAATATTGAATCTCTTCTCTGGATTAGGTTGTAATAGTTTTCTCAACAAATCTTTTGCATCTAATGAAAGATAGAAAGGAAATTTTAAAGTCTTTTTCGAGGAAATAATCTTCTCCATGATTTTTTTATTATTGTTACCATTAAATGGAGGTGAACCAGTCAATAAATCATAGGCAACACAGCCTAATGACCACCAGTCAACAGAGTAAGTGTATGGTTCGTTTTTCAAAACCTCTGGTGCCATATATTGAACTGTACCTGTCATTGAGTGCTTTTTCTCATCTGTTGTAGAAACTTTAGATAAACCAAAATCTGTCAAAACCAAATTACCATACGAATTTAACATACAATTCTCAGGTTTCAAGTCTCTATATATGACACCAAGATTGTTATGCAAATATCTTAAAGCCAAAATTATTTGTGCAATATAATAAGCAGCATTCTTCTCGCTCATAAACTTCTCCTGAGCTAAATGATGAAACAATTCTCCTCCACTAAGGTATTCTAGAATTAAATAAACTTTATCATTATCCTGAAATGCATAATACAAACTGACTATGTTGGGGTGATTAACCATTTCCAAGATGGATTTTTCGTTTATTGTTCTGTTATAGTTTACCTGATGTATTTCATTAGTTTCATTTATAACCAACGACGCTTTCTTGAGTTGCTTCTGTGCAAATAATCTGTTTGTTGAAATTTCCCTGACCAATATGACTTTACCATAAGCACCCCTACCTAGCACCTTTATCGGTTCGAAATCAGACAATTTTGGTTTATAATTTTTGAAGTTATTTGTATTATTCAATGATGATACATAAGATTCATGAATATCAATTTCATAGGAAGAGGATTTGAAAGTTGATGGAATACTATTTCTTCTTGTAGTTTTCACTGGTATTGGCCGTGGTAATTCACCAACTGTATCATGCATGTCATCTTCCTCTATTGCGGATATACCATTCTGATCTACCAACCTATAATTCAAATCAAGTTTTTTCTCTAACTTCATTGATAAGTCATCATCATCATCATCCATATTGAAGATACCTGTCATATCTCCTTTACTTCTACTTTAGGATTCATGTTGTTCCACGTTTTTAATTAAAGTATTACTACGAATATTAAACTACTGGCTATAAATATTTACCCGAAAGAAAATGACAGATATATTAATATACAAAATAAATATTATGGGGAAAAACATATGAAGACCAGCTACATATTTATTCAAACTACTGCTCTAATGTAGAGCTTATCTCTTCCCGATAAATAATCCATTATTAGACTAGTCTTGTCAAATGAGTTTAGGGTAGAACCATTGAGGGTCTCACTAGGCGTCATTGGAAGCGGAATAGGTCTGATACTTTCTTTTTTAAAAAGAAGGTACAATTTGACATTATCCCTCTTTATAGCCGAGCGCTGACTAGCTAGTTTTTGTATTATAACGTCAATCAACTCATTTATATCTTGTAGATGTTCTTTTTGAACTTTCAAAGCTACAACTACTTCTTCAAATTCGTCCTTTTCACTAATGTAGATTTTTATCTTCATACTTGAACTTATGGGTTGCAAGAATGAAAATCTGTTTTTCAAAGTATTTTGATCAAACCTTTGTCTCTGTCTGGAAATTCTGGGTTTTCTGTTATTGGAGTCTATTGTTGAGCAAGAAATATTTTGTGCCTCCTGCGAATGAAAATTGGTTGAAGTTGATGAAAACGAACTATCTTCTAGATTATCTGAATCTGAAGTATCAAGCTCCTTGTTTCCACCTATTATAGAATTTTCCGTATCATCTCCATAGCTATTTTCTACGCTTTGACAAAACTCATTCCTTCTAGTTTCATTATTAATTGAACTATATTCATAATCCTTAGGATAGTTCTGGGATTTATTGTTTTGATAAACAACTTCTTTTTTCTTCAATGAAGCGGAAACTGATCTTCCTACCCAAGAGTTCTTCTTTACTAAGTCTCGATTTGGTTGCTTCTCAAAGACTTGGTAAATTAAGCTTTCATTCGATAAAGGAGGAGTATTATAGCAGCTAATAGGTCTGAAGGATGTCTTCTTCTCTTCATTGTCTTCACTTATGACGCTTATAGAGTTATTTGTAGCAATTGAGTCAAAAATGGAACTTTCATCTGTAGTACTATCGGCATCTTCAGTAGATTCAATCTCATTATTGATGGGTCTCAATTCATCGAGACCCTTTTTCTTAAGCTTAAATTCAAACAACATTAATTGTATAAGCTATTATTTTATAACGAAGAATTTAGCGTAAAATAGAGATATTTAATATTAAACATGGGTCCATAATTATAAATTGGTAATGTTTATAAATTTCTTGATTAGGATAAAACTTAAACAAATGAATTAAATTAAATATTGTCACGTGAGTTTGATTCACTTTAAACCAAAGTTTTAAATGAAATAATAAGTTTGAACTTATATCAGACCATGGCCTCAGACCTTCATAAGGCTTCGTGTAGATTTCCATAAAGCATATTGGATATTGAAATTATCGAAAGGCTGTAGGACGTCTATTGGTATTTTACTTGATTGCGACTCGAAGGGCTGAATATAATGACTTTATCTCTCTAACGTGTAAGGATTTGAAACCTAGAGGCTTAACATTTCAGAAATCCATCCACTTTTCTAAACTTTATAGAGTAAAAGACAAAAGTAATTCGATTAGAAAAATATTTTCTAAAGAAATAAAAAACTCTCAGGCATTTTTTTTTTGGAGTAGTTTCCAATTATTTTTACAAAACTGCTCGATTTTGCAATTATTTCTTTGGCTTTTGCGACATTGACCCAAATTGTGGATTCATGCAACAACAAACGAGCTAGTAATTCTTTCCAGTTTTTGTCTCGTCTCACATTTGCTTTCCAAACTTTTTTGTTTTAATCATCACAAGCCACACGGTTCCTACTTATGCCGTGCGTCTAGGGCTCTGTGACCAGCTACTTTCAACGGCATATTGACGACAAGATGCCACAAACTAAACGAAATTATGTGACAATAAGGACTTTTGCTGGCCTGAAAATCGGTAAATCCCGTGCGTTTGTGGCCCTACATAGGCGAAATATTACATCTGTTAACTTTGTCATAAGAATCTTTAGCTCTGGCAAGCGATGAGTTTACATTCTCTATTCTAGTATCCTAAAGAACTACAGCACAGCAGCCACCCCTTTTTTTTGAGGTTAAACCTTACATAAACGCCGAAAACCTTAAAGGAAATCTGCTGATTCAATATCCGAATTAGTTACTGTTCTGACTTTTTTTATCAGACAAAATTTGGTATCGCCTATGGTAGCATATCCTAATTCCGGGGTTGAGTTCCGACCTCCCCCTATTTTGCTACGCCCAGTAAAATTTTGTTCCGTTAACCACGAGTGGAAAGGTTAGAGTACCTGAATAAAATTCGTACCTAAATTGAAGTTAAATCCGACATATGATTGTGCGTCTGCATTGAATATGTACTTTGTGTGCATTCAACTTATACTGAACTTGACTGCATTCCAATAACAATTTAGGTTGGTTTGTTAACGATCAATTGTAGTCAAGCAAGCCCTATGGATAATAGGTGTACTGCGGGATGGATAAATATAAGTGCATGGACAGAACTTTGGCCGAAAGGTTTATGTGTAAATTGATGGGAGCGAAAATAATAAACAGGATGTATGCTAGATATCGCAAAGATAACGTGAGGTATTAAAATAAATGCTACAACAAGGTCTGAATTATTAATTAAAGAATATGGTTCATTTATCGTAGTTTGATATATATGTTGAAATTCATGCTGCCTTAAGAACGATCTTTTCAGATTCGTTTAAAACTTGGTTGAAATTGTAACTGGGTGAATCGATGCATTTAAAGTCTTGTAATTTGATATGTAAATTTTCGTAGGAAATTCTCGCGCTTACCAACCTCTTCAAATCGACGGCAGACTTAATATCATTCCGGTCAATTTTTAGGACAACAATGTCCTCATTTGGTTTGATGACTTTCACTTTGACATAATTATCTTTCAATATATATTGAGAATGTGAAAATGAGAATGGAGTATCAGGAGTTTTCGCAGAATCAACATCTGAAAAAATCGAGGTTTCGGAGTGAGAACCAACTGAATTATTATAGTTATGATTTGAAGTGTTTACAGTCAATTTTGGTGGTGGGCATCGAATTGACTTGTATGAACCATTTTCTCCTAATTGATTTTTTGAATTGAAATTATACGTTTTAGAATATGTTGATGACGTAGGTTTGCTTACTATGACATGATCATTGTTGTGGTTCCTTGAAGTCATGTCAGTTATAATGTCAACAGAGTATGGCAGAATTCTCTTTGAAATTTCCTCATTAGTATAATTAGAATGTGGATGACCTATTAGACCTCCTAAATCTCGGTAGGAAATATTCAACCATTCATGTAGAACTTTCGACTTTCGGAATCTCTTGTCAGCAAAGAAATGATTTAAGTAAATGCTTAAATCATTACAGCGATTTAGTAACACTTCATTCAAAACATTTGATTGTGACGGTGTTGTACAAGCAATGGGTTCAGGTAATTTGGGCAATGATGATGGGGTATCTGTTTTACCGACCATATCTAATAATGATCCATGCAAGTTATAGAAATCTTCATAGTACCGAGGTAGATATGTTTTATTTTTATCTGAATATTTTATGTCCAATCTGTACCAGTATCTATTTTCTAGCAAGAGAACATTGGAAATTGTCGCAGATTTCGGATATGTATTGGTATGAGTTGAAATAGGTGAACCATCAGCCTTGCTTAAATCTTTAGACCGGCTATGTGGTTCGCTAGTAATCGATGATAGTTCATCAATTTGATGTAACCATTGTAATGTAATTGGGTTCAAAGGGTCATTGACTGCTATATCAACATATTTTGCTGGTATCAAGCCGTATTTGTTCACTGTATCTATGAATTGTACTAAAAGCCATCCATTTCCAGGACGTTCCAATACTTTCAAAATATTCCCCTTGTGAGTAGTCAATTCGTATTTGTTTTCAGCCTTAAAGCCGTGTATACAGACAACGATAACGCTATGGTTGAAGCTGCGAACAAACTGCTGGACATTTGTAGGTGCTGAAATCTCTAGTGATTCTCCTTTTACAAAGCGTCTCAACCTACCCATGATTGCTGTATATCTATAGAATGAATAAATTTATCTGTTGTTGGTTGATGTTTTGATTTATATCAGTTGTTGATATCCAGTGCAACCTAAGATCAATATATACAAACATGCAGGACTGGCTCATCAATAGCTCACATATTGCATTTCGCATAGTGTAACAAACCGTTAAAAGAACAGTGCTTTCTCGACAATAAAGAATGCGTAACAATCGGTTGCTATGTACAGAAACTCCGCCTAACTAGAGGCTAGCTGTTAGCGGCTTTCAAAATCAGCCAATAGAGTTGACAATTAAAATACACTACAACAATGATTCCCATAGACGGTCATCATCTATTATACACCTACGTGGTTTGATGTGCCCATCAAGCGAACCTGGTATTATAATTGGCTGTACAACTCAATGAAAAATGTGTACAAGTACCCATTCTCCGTTCAGTCGTAGCTCCTAATACCGGATTATATACAACGGGCTAGTCTTTGTAATCTCCTTCCAGCCATTTTTGCTTAACTAAACAGAGGTACCTTAGTCTTGCTGGTAATCCGGAAGTTGGTAAAATATGTGAAGAAGAAGAAACAAATTACTATAATCCAAAAAATGTTTCGCTCGTTAAATGCCCACTCCCATCAGGAAAAATTTTCGCTCGCGTAGGATCGGCAAGTCGTGCATAACCGATTTATTTTGCCAGCCCCATGTTCTTGATGCCCTTTGGGTTTCAATTGGTCTGATGGTACCTGATTATCGAGCATCAAAGACCGCATACCGTACCTTCACTGGCTATCCGCTTAATAATATCTGCTTCTTACTACTTACTGCAAATGCACTTCTTGTGGATATGGCATTTGTTTCACATAATATCAAAATGTCGCATATGACGTAGTGCCTGAGTGAAATGTCTTCTTCAAGCGTTATGAATATTGGTCCAATGTGTACAAAAGATAAGCTTTCGTCAACCTAGAAGCAGCACACTGGCAGCAGTCTTCAAAATACTACCTCGGGTACTTATTGTGCATGAGTTGCAAAATCGTGGCTAGTTCCGATTTTCGGATTGTGAATTGCGGAGTTATTGAGTATACATTGCACATGATTACAATGCCATGCATGTTGTACATATACCGGTGACACCGTTTTGGGAGAAATGTACGATAGTGATGAAAAGGGTTAAACGCTTGTGAGTAGCTCTCTCGGGGAAATGCAAATGCTTATGATGTAAAGTTAATTTGAATGCATAACCAATAGTATCCTTATTGTGTGCTACAATTAAAGATGTGGGTATGCGTTTGGGAATGCTTAATAATAATTGTCTCATATGTCTGAAATTAAGATTGTTAAAAAATTTGGTAGCAGTATCGAAGACAGATTGAGAAAAAGATCGTTTATCAAAAAAATTTTAAGGCTATATAATTTCCAAATAATAGGGCAAATTTTTTTTAGAAGTAGATATACACATTCTAGCTGACTTACGAATGCCAGTGAATATCAGTCAAAGCAATTGAGTACAGGGATTTAATTGCAATCGGAATAATTGACTAGATAGAGGAGCTGAATAAATTAGTAAAGGCTTGGAGTAAATTTGAAAAATTTGTGAAAAAGTTTTCAAGAACGATAGCATTGGGCTCAGTGTAAAACGTAAGGTAGATTAAATCCGCTGCTTCAAGTTGACTCATACGAGCAGACACAGAAAAAGAGTAGTCTTTATAGATCTCATTTTGCAAAAGGAGTAATAAACTGACTCCACACACAAAGCATTGGATTGTGCTTTGCGCTTAAACATACGTGCTGAGAAACTTACACAGATGGTGAAATCGCTAGTTAATTCCCCCAATTCGGGGCTTGAAGCAGGTGAATCTTCCAATATTAATGAACATATAGCGTCACCACCAATTCCAATAACGGGTAATAATAATCATTCTAAATATGACCAAATATACATAGGGGACTCTGGATTAGATCCATTGGACTACGCACCTCCAATAGTGCATAACCAGCTGTATATACATCAGTATAACAAACAGCAGCAACAACTACAACAACAACAAAGGTTACTAATCATACAACAACGTCAACTACAACAATTACAACAATTGCAACAGGAACAGAATCACGCAAACTTACAACAATACCAGAAAGATCACACCACTAATACAGGCTACAATACTATTTATAGCAACCTACAAGGTGTCGCTTCAGCTGATAATATCAAAAATAATGTCCAACAATCTACACATCATCAATCAATCTTTAATTTTGATGATATTTCATCGTTGGGCCTCATTGACTCTCAGTATTCCAAACCACAATCTGCAGACTTTACTTATAATAAATTTGATTTTGAACTAGCAAATCCTTCTTTAGAATCCATACCAGATTCAATAAGTAATCCTTTCGATTATGCTGGATCTCAAAACTGTTTAGTACCAACTCCTAATGCCCATGCTGGAATTAGTCACTCTCCTTACAATGCAACCATCAACGACACTTTTACTTCTTCATTTTCAGATACTTCAAGTTTCACTCCAAATTCTGCAACTGAAGAGTATTTTAGACCTATGATGGGTTCATCATTAAAACATCTGACCAGTTTGTCCGCATTTCCACCAGCAATTAAGTCTGGCAATTCAAACTCTAAAATCAACAAAAAGTCATTGAACGAGCTTAACACATCCTTAGATAGTAAGAAAAGTCTAATGATGCCAACAAATTTTGCAACATCGACTACAAGTTCTTCGCCCTCTGTTGAATCGCCTAGTTGGGCAGGCGCTTCTCCAATATACAATAGATACAAGGGTGCTGATTTCAGCGGCAATACAAACTTACGGGTTGATCCTCAGACACCCAACCCAAAAATAGTGCATCATAACTCTGAAAGCTTCCCATCTTCTAGCAATTCTCAACGTCTAGAAGAAGGAAGAAGAAAAACTTATCCATTGTTTAATGAATTTCTGGTGTCTACACTGGAGAGACTGACTCCTAGCAAAAGCTCACATAGTTTGTTGAGTACACAGACTGGTTTAGACAAACCGAAGAAGTATACCAGAAGAAGATTACTTCCGAGGTCAAAAAATGGATGTTGGATTTGTCGAATAAAGCATCTTAAGTGCGATGAAACAAGACCCTTTTGTACAAGCTGTGCAAAACTAGGAATTGAATGTGATTATTCATCAGAAAGGCCAGATTACATTACAGATAAGAATTTAAAGAAGGAAAAGCTAGCTAGCATATCTGTCATCAGAAAACTGAAGCAAGCAAATAATAAATACAAAATATAGTAAGTCTAGGTGTTAAAAGGTTGCGGGTTTGCGGCAATCGCAATATAATTTTCAGCAAAATCGGTTTAATGATTAGAAGAGCGAAAGGTTAGCCTCAACTCTTCTTATTTAATTCTTATATATTTAGTTCTTCTTATGACTTTCTATGGTTAATTGTAATAATATAAATATTTTTTAGTTACATTACGCAATGGCAACTAAAAGAGTAGCAAGAAAAATACTGACTACGTGAAATTATATGACTAAAACATAGCTGATTTTAGATGCGAAAAATCTCATTCCCATTCAGAAACTCTCAACTTTTTCTTCAAAACTATTTCCCTTTCAGTAGTCGAAATTATACTAATATCGCCATTTTCTAAATTGTCGATATCATTGAAGGTTTTATTATATTCCACCATTGAAATGTAGTCACCTTCAAACCCAACCCATGGTCCGTATAATGGATCAATTAGATAGGGATATGTATAATCTGTATATTGTTCTCGTTCTTCATCAATCGTTGATCGTCTTCTTCGTAATTCGTGAAAATTATCAACTGAATGTCTTCCTTGAATTAAAAGTGACCTCTCGTCAGCTTCTCCAGCATCCTCCGTTTGATTTTGGTTATTCGAATTCGAGATCTCCAGGCGGTCATCGTCAAATTCTTTATCAAAATCATATGGATTCTGAATTGCTCTTAAGGCAATAAACTTGTTAAGAGGTAAATAATGTATCTCGAAATTCCATGTGATCACCAACGTAATGAAAACCAATGGAGAGCTCAATAATGCTAATAGAATAGCTCCCTCCAATGCTAAAGTACCACACATGAACAATTGGAATAATATTAAGCCTAACATCAATCTCCTGAATATCATTGTCCAGACTTTACCAGTAGAGTGTGGTGGATGAACACAGGTATAAATTAATTGATATTTATAAACCAAATATCCTAGAATAAAGTAAATTAATCCGCTAGTAACAATCTTAGTAGAGACAACAGAATAAATCAATATTATAATGAATATTAAAATATGCTGAGGCAATTGCAATCCAAAGTCAAACATAGGTGGTGTATAGTAGTAAAATCTATAATCTCGTGGTGTCTTAAGAATCATATTTTTTAACAAGAATATTTTGCCAATAACATTCAAAATCACAACATCTCCAATTTGTAACAATCTGACTGGAAACATCGCTAAACCCTGCAACAAGATCAAGTCAACATAGAATAATGACAAACTCTTCAACGAGCTAGCCAATTGATAGGCAATTTTTGTCGTGTCGCTTAGGAATGACCAATAATTAGAAAATGTTCCCGCAAAAGTAAAAACCAAAAATAAATTGACAAATAAATAGAAAAAGTTCTTCAGCAATGTGGACAATTCAATATCACTATTTGATGAATAACCTTGGTTTTGAGATAAGAATCTGTAAAAATAAGGAAGCAGAATATTCAACAAAGAGAATAAAAGTGGAGGTAAAATACCAGTAACAAAAGTGGTTAACCATTTTGATTTGCTTATAAAATTTCCTAATGCTGGCCAAAGTTTAGTAATTGTTTTGACATTAATTAAAGCCGCTAAGGACGAAACAGGAAAAAGCAAAATCACACAACTCAACATTACTATAAAAGTAATCACATATGATTTTAATAATTTCTCATAACGAGTTAGCTTAAAATTTCTCCACTTAATATCTTTTGGAGCCGGAGCCAATTTAACAATTAATTTATGAACTCTTGGGTCTAAGACGGTTTGGGCTGCCATCTGCGCAGAAGCAACCGAATCCATTGTAATGAAAGCACTAGATATTTGTTTAAAATTAGTATTTTGCAATTCAACTGTTGAAGTGATTGGATCAAACTTTCCTTGAATTCCTTTAATTTCTTCATCGAGTTCAATAATTGTATTTGAGAGCTTGTTAATTTTTGCTTTCATTCGTATTCCTTTTGGTGAATCAACAACTGAATCTATAGCATTTTTTGGCAAAACGGATGGTATTTTCTTCTGAGTATATATATCGATTGATAATCCGTAAACTGACGCGTATAAGTTTTCTAATTTATCAAGTAAAACTTTCCGTTTTTCGAAAAGAGTTTCTAGGTCAGTCCAATCATAAATTAACTTCACATCCATAACCTTTCCGATTCCCAAATCCTCGATGAAGTTCTTCAAAATCGTAGGATTATTATTTCTAATCAACTTTTTGGGGATACCATCTAACCTGATCGTTCTGTCCACAATCGAATTCTGAGAGGCTAAATACTTCTGTCTAGTCTTCAACACTTTGTCAGTGTATTCGTATATACTAGTGTAAACAATAATCGAAAAAACGTAGGTGAATATCGGATAAACCCAAAGATAGTTTGGAAAATCATCATTTAGATCAGGCGGTGTAGGATTATCAAAATTGAATGTAATAAACGATCTTGCAACAGACCAAACAATATTATCCTTATCAAAATTACCCGTGTAGTAGTATCTTATAGGACTCAACACAAGGATAGCCAAAACCGCTAGCAAAGAAAAGATTTTGATCCCCATTTTAAAGAAGGCTAGGAATACAAATGCATCTAATCCCGAAAATTGCAATACCTCTTCGTCAGTAATTCGATACACGTTAACAACCCATCCAAATATTTTGTTTGGCAATGGCTTTATTGTTTCAGTTCTCTTCCGCAAGGTTCGTACAGCGTAAATATGTGGCCATCTGTATCTTAAGATACAAAATAGAACAAATGATGATATACCAATCCACAAGCATATAACCAATTGTGTTTTGAACACTCTTTGTGACCCTCTCAAGGCTGTGGGATCATCTATTGGTGGGTCTATATTCATTAAATGATATACTTTGTAGTCTGATTTATTCGTTTATATTTATCTCTCTTATATTGTCCTCAAAACCAATCGCATTTATATTGATCGTAAATATTGCCTAATGTGGAAGTCTACCTATTTTGCTACAAATCGACAACATGGACTTTTTACTATCCAGTTGACATCTATATACATATTACTACACGGATAGATGATGCTGTTACCATCTTGTCATAAAAACTTGCAGATTGTCTAGGATAATAGTGAATGAAAAATCTCCAAGTGTATCGAAAATACGACTTGATTTTGGCACAAATTCCAACAACAACACCAAAACATCTTCCAAATAATGATTCTTAGCAATAAAACACACGCTCTACCTCGACCATAACCCTCTTGATTCACTTCGTAGTGCTTCTACTGTCTTCAACAGGCATTAAAAAGTGAAGAAATTCACGTGATGAGCGTGTTTTTCAACGTCGAAAAGTTAGTACCTGGTACTTATTATTTTTCTTTTTCCAAATAGCCTATTGGGTGATTAAGGTTGATAGACGTTGGCTTATACATTATGAGTGATATATACGTAGTTGTACACATTGCCACGACGTGTGATGAATCGACTACTTATGTCACTAAGGATTCAACAGAGTTGATTGAGTTTGCTTGGTCTGTTGTTGATGCAATCACGCTAGAAAATACGTACCAGGAATCAGTATTGGTGAGACCGATCAATACTCCAATAACTCAATACTGTTCACAACTTCATAAAATTACGTGGGAACATGTTAGAAATGCCGGATCATTCAAGGATGCTATTAGTAAGTTTGATAACTACATGCAAGAAAATGTAATTCTGAAGAATAAGGAATTTTCATTGATAACGTTCGACGTGAGCAAAATTCGAGTCCAATTACCAAGGGAAGCAAGAGACAAGTCAGTAGTATTACCTCCATATTTGCAGCACCCAAGGATATTTGATATACAAAATGAGTACGCTAAGTGGCAAACATCACACCCAGAAGCATTATCATATACTGCGTCGTCTTTGTCTAATATTATTACGGCTTTAGAAGTGGAGGTTGACACTAATGAGGGGATCGAAACACCAGTATCATCCTCGTCAACTCCACCACCAACTGCAATTTCTTCGGCATCATCTGCATCAAGTGCTAGTTTTTTTTCTGAGCCATTGACTAATCCAAATTTGAACTCACATTCTAATTTGAATTTAAATTCGGGTCAAGAGACAAAGACAAAAACTACAGTAAATGTATACACCAAGGTTTTAGTCCAGTTAATCAAAAAATCATTGCCGGTCGAAGAGCATCCATCGGTCTTGACCAAACCACACGATTCAGGACAGGATGTCAAGGTTTTTTTGGTTGAGAGGTCAAAGATTTTATATCTTAGCAATTTACCAGGGGACACTACTCAGTCTGAATTGGAATCATGGTTTACGCAGTACGGAGGAAGACCAATTGCTTTTTGGACTTTGAAGAATGTAGATGCAAATGAGAAGAACGCCAAAAACAATAATACTGGCAACAATGGAAACAGCGGAAATAACAGTTATGGTTTTAAAGTAAGAGGCATTTCTGGGTTTGCAGTATTTGCAACTCATGAAGAAGCCACAGAATCGTTATCGATGAATGGTAGAGCATTGAATGATAGAGCAGTCGAAGTACAAGCCTCATCTACAAGCGTGCTAGATAAAGCTAGGGATTTATTAACACCCTTCCCACCTTCTAAAAATAGACCCAGACCTGGTGATTGGACATGTCCATCATGTGGCTTCTCAAATTTTCAAAGGAGAACTGCTTGTTTCAGATGCTCATTCCCTGCTGCTAGCGCTGTTACCATTCAAGAATCTATGTTTTCTGGAAATACGACTAATAATCGTCGTACTAATACGAATAACTCTATGCCAAACAATAATAATTCAGATAAGATGGCCCTTAATGCGGCAGTTGTTAATGCAGCAGCAGCAGCAGCGTTGAATCACAATCAATCATACAATTCAAGCTATCAGGATCATAATTTTGCATCTGGTTCTCATAAACTTGGAGGAAATGGGCTTAATGCTTCAAATAACCATCAACATGCTAATTCACATTCTCATCATGGTGGCCATAATCATAACCATAATAATAATAACTCCCGTTCTCATTATGGAAATAATGTTCCATTTAGAGCGGGTGATTGGAAATGCTCTAATGATTCTTGCCAATATCATAATTTTGCTAAGAATTTATGTTGTTTGAAATGTGGGAACGCAAAGCATTCTGGTTCATCGAACCACAATAACAATAACAATAATAACAATAGCAACAATCATATTCATTCGGTTAATTCCACAGCCGCTGCTATTGCAGCCGCTACTGCTAGTGGCCAGCCATTGAACTTGAATAATGGATTCATGGGAATACAACAACCTCAGCCTCTCCACCCAAATCATTATTCGCCTTCTCAGACGCCAACACAACAGAACCATAACCAACATCGTCATAATTCAAATGTTTCCGGTGCTAACTATTATAACAATAAATCACAATTCCCACTCCATTTGTCAAATCAAAATACGAATGCCAATTTGCGCGGGACTAATAGTACACCGCCCCAAATCTTAGCACAACAGCTAGCTATGTTACAGCACCATCAACACCAGCATCAGCAACAGCAGGTGAACCAAAAGCAGACATCCCAGCCAAAGTATTCGCAATCAGTTTTAAATTCTCCTGGCATGTATTCTAATTTTGGACCTCAGCAGACTAACTACCTGTCTTATTCGAAAAATATTCCAAATCCGCCTCATTCTGCCCCAGCATCTGCTGAAGCTATGAACTCTAAGAATGGCAATATAGAAAACTTAAATCCAACGTTGAACGTGCTCGCAAACCAAATTAGCTCATTAAATTTAAATGGTAACCAGCAATAAGCTGTTCCATATCTCCCATGGGAGTTTGTCATTTTTTTTCTTTTTTATTGTATTATAATAGTCATATTTGGTTATTTCCTTGTTTGATTTTTCAGTTTATTCATTTAATGGTTAATGCGAAATTTCTATCTGGTAACTAGGACTCTCTTATATTTATTGGTGGTTAGGGTATTTCAAAAAGCTTTTATTAATATTCATTTGAAAGTGCTATATATATAAACCTTTTTTTACTAATTTTTTTTTTTAGCTTACAAAATTTTCAACTTCAGCTTATTACATGATTCCAATTGAAGTATAACTCAGTTAGGTATTTGATCTTTCTATCATCTAGGGTATAGTTTATATAATAAAATCATACAAATCTTTAACAAGAAATCTCTATATACAGTATCAAACATAAGGAATCCGAACACGTAAATTTCAGTAAACACCAGGATATAGGGTTTGGCTAATTAATTCTAGGTTATAACATTATATCATTGAAGACAAAATGAGTACAGACAAATATTCTGTCATTTTACCAACATATAACGAAAAGAGAAATTTACCAATTTTGGTTTATTTATTGGCTAAAACTTTTCAAGCACATGAATTAGATTGGGAAGTGATCATCGTGGATGATAATTCTCCAGACGGAACTCAAATCATTGCTAAAGAGTTAGTTGGAATA